GTACTATAAAAGTTCATTTCTTTTGTAAAATGGTACGTAATAGCATACAAAATCCATACCTACCTACTGACTTACTGTTTAACGCCAGAGATTTGTATATTGTACAAATTATTAGAATTAGAGTTAGTCAATTAGTTTATACAGTGTGTGTCCCCGGTTAGATGAAACGAGTCTTGTAAAAGATAAGAAAATTTCGATTTAGGTTTTCATTTTTTGGGGTTCACCCCTGCTTGGTTAAAGATTAACTTTTAAGATAATTTTAGTTTTGAAAAATCAAGTATGCCTTGGTCATTAAAAAAATCTATTTTTTTTGTAAAGTGCAAAAATTTATTAAGAAAACTTGCTTATTTAGAATCAAGAGGCTACTATGATTTTTCATTTTTTCCCCAAATAATGGGGTTTTATTTACAGATACATCAAAAGGTTATTTAGTACTAATAATCTAAATGTAAATTTATTTTATTCGTAATAAAAGAAGTGTTAAAAATAAAATTTTTTGATTTGTGAAATACAGGGTGTTTCACGTAATTTTACGAGGCCTGCGCCTGTAAGATGCAATCAATAATACATATTCCGATACGAACTCGATTACAAATTTAGAAAAATTGGATAATCTTCTCTAGTTTGTTCACCCTTTAAAAAATTATAACGTTTTTAAGTTAGTTAGTGATTAAGATAGATAAACTACAATCATATTCATGCCGTCTATTGAGAGAACAAATGATTATTGTTTCTGAAAAACTGCAGTTTATGACTATTAATGAAACAGCGATTAGTTTGACAACTACTGTCATGGGTTTCCAAAAATTAAATAATTAAATGTGTATTTTTTGTATCCAGTGTTCTGTGACTTTTGTATATTTGGGTGCGTACATTAGGCGCAAGCTTCGTAAAGTTATGTGAAACACCCTGTACTCATAATATTAAACATAAAAAAATAAAAAATTAAAGTTGGCCGATGATTTAGAAATTTGGTACACTGGCTTAGATGTTGATTCTCAACAACTTTTCTTAATAACTTTTTGTCGTATCTGCCACAAAATTTCCCAAGCATACTTGATTTTTCAAAACTAAAATTATCTTAGAAATTAATCTTTAACCAAGCAATAAAAAAAGCAAAAAATTAAAATTTAAAAGACTTCAAAGAAATTCAAAGACTTTTTATCTTATACAAGAGTCGTTTTACTTATCCGGGGACACACTGTATATTTATGAACAAAAAGACAAAAACGGTTTTTATTATTTATTATCACACCTCAAGTATTAAATGAAAAAAATGTTTTTCGCAAAATTCTAAACATATAGTTTTTGAAATAGACAAAAAATAAGTACGATTAAATTCAAATATACTATTTTTGTCATTAAAATAAACGTTGACACGTAAACACGTGTAGAGTAAACAGTTTACAGTTGGTGAAAATTACTTCAATGAGCATAGATTATAACGTATACATTAAATTGTGATTATAATAAACAAGCTTGCTCAAATTATCAAATTACAAATACATAAATTACAGATGTTTCCGGATTAAGTTCACAAGAGAAAAAAAAAATTACTTTTGATTTAACGCCAAAACTGCAAAGGAAATAGTTATTTATTCGACGAGTTTGAGTGTAAATCGGACTCTTTATTTGACCGAGTAGATTTTTAAACTACGAGTGTAACGAGTGGTTTACCATCCACGAGGTGGAATAAAGCGTCCGATTTACACTCAAACGAGTGGAATACAACATTTTATTCTTCGAATTAGAGTCAACAAGGCTTAAACTTGCTTTAAATCTGTTAAAAATAATTTGACGTTTTGTATTGAGAAATGCCAAACAGTTGTCAAAACTTCCTTACACGGGAGAAAAACCGTAAATTTTGACAGTGTCGAAGAATACAACATTTTTAGCTTGACTTGATGTTTGAGGTTCTTTATCCACAGCTTTTAAAAATCAGGATTGTAGAACTAGTTTTAAATGCCAGATTTTACCTTTGACTTTACACCAAAAAAGCAAAGAAAATATATTTTTTTCTATAGCAGATGTTAAACTATTTCTTTAAAAACTCTTTTGAGTAGATAAAGTATCACTTTAACAGCAAGGGTTGTTGTTGCTTTATCTGAAACGAGCAAATCTGTAATCAATTCATTTCTCTGACTCAGTGGAAAGAAAAGTTAATTTTTTTCTTACTTTTGGACTTGTAATAATAATCTTTCTTTACTTTTGAAGTTCCATCACATTGGCGATTTTATTTTTTTGACAACGATGACACTTTGACAATTAATTAATTAATTGAATAATGATTGTTTTCGTTAAAAATGACTGTTTTTTTAGAAGCTGTTTTTTGACTTACCATTTATTAAAATTATGTTTTTTTACAAACATTTTTATTATTACAAAATACAAAACGACATCGTTGTCAAAAAAATAAAACGCCAATGTGGGATTTAAAACGCAGAGAAAAATTACACTATTTTTATAACGTAAATTTCTTATAGATTTTGAGGCACTGTGTTAAAAAAAAAACTTTTTAAAAAAGTCCGCCTCGTTATGTATAATAAAAGTGAGTTATTTTACTTGGTTTTATTATATTTTTTGGATCAGTTTTCTTTATAACAATCCAACAGTAATCTACTAACATATTTTCCTTTCCTTCAGATCGTCTTGTTTGTCACTCATGCTCCTTAAATTTTTAGAAAAGTCTAAATGCGAGTGAAATGTTTTTAAGACCTATTTAAACCTATATAGTAATAATTTTGCAATAATTCATCAACAATTTGAATTTAAATAAATTTTAAATCGGAGGCATTTGTGCAGAAAGTAGGAAAAGTATCATCTGTAACAAAAAAAGTGTGACGGGATAGAAAAATGTAACAATTATTTTTGTTTAATTAAAGGTGAGTTAACATAAAAATAGTAATTCGATTAAAGGTTGTATTGTTTGTAGACTATAGTGTTATTAGTTATTACAAGCTCAACATTAAGAGAAAAATTAAATTTTCTTTCTACTGAGTGAAAATAATGAACTTTTAAATAAATATAAAAAACGAAAGAAACTAGCTATTCGTTCATACAAAATACAAAAAGTAAATCACAAAAATTTTGTTAAGGTAATGAAATACATGGGCATGCATTTTTTTCTCTAAAATTTGCTTAGTGTCATTTTGCAAATTATTATAATCACCATTTAATAATTTGTACTCATTGAAGAAATTTACCGTTTTGAAGAAACGTGTATCCTCGAGTCCGGACCAACTTCCTAAATAAGGGTCTTTCGACATTATAACTTATAGTCCGGTCAAAATAAACATTTTAAATAACTAAAATTCCGACAGAGCTAAATTTTGGTGGAGATATTGAGTACACCATTAGGAATAAAGTGTCAAAAGTCCCCATCGATCCCATGTGTGCTAAAAAAGTTATTCGGGGTCAAAGGTCGAAATTTGAAGTTTTTTAGATTTTTTTCGAAAACGGTAAGTTTTATCAAAAAAGTAGCCCAGACAAAAAATATAGATCTTGAAATTATCTACAAAATGGTCCTTATACTTTTTTTCTAACAATCACCATTCCTGAGATATCGCGATTCTAAAAGTTGAAGGAGTCACGTTCTACATGGTATGCACATACAGAGTGCGTCAGAACTTCCGCTTCAAAGACAAATGCCATGTAGGGTAAGGTACCACAAACATAGAAAAAATTAAAAAAAAAACTATCTATAAAAGTTTCAAAGTTATGAGAGTTTAAATTTTGCACTTTGACTCTATTTATTTCTGTAGGGAAAATAATTTTCCAAGTTTTTTTGCTACAGGCCATTAGAAGAAGAAACAAAAAAGCTGTGTCCTAAATTGTAACTCTGTTCAATGTTATTTGTGGCTTTTATTGGCAAAACTTTTGTACCTTTACTAGATAATTGTAAAAAAAACATATACAAAATCATCAGTATTATTAAATAGACATAAAAAAATAGTCAAATGTCAAAAAACAAATGTCAAATTTTTTTGACAGATAAAATTTTTTAAACATTTTTTTATGTTCCTGGTATCTTATTTTACTTGAAATTTTTCTTCTACTTCATTAAACTTATAAATATCTCGATTCCATTAGAATTAAAAAGAATTTATTTGGTAATACATACAGGTTGTTCAAAAAATCGCGCATTTCCTTGAAAGGGAGTAATTGGGTAGTCCCCAGAGTACTGAAAAAATGTTTAAAAAATTCTATCTGTCAAAAAATTTTGACATTTATTTTTTGACATTTGTCATTTTTTTATGTCTATTTAATAATACTGATGACCTTGTATATGTTTTTTTATAATTATTTGATAAAGGTACAAAAATTTTGTCAATAAAAGCTACAAATAATATTAAGCAGAGTTACAACTTAGGATACAGCTTCTTTGTTTCCTTTTCTAATAACCTGTAGCAAAAAAACGTGGAAAATTATTTATCCTACAGAAATAAATAATAGTCAAAGTGCAAAATTTAAACTCTCATAACTTCGAAATTTTTATAGATAGAATTTTTTAAATTTTTTTTATGTTCCTGGTACCTTACCCTACATGGCATTTGTCTTTGGGGCGCGAGTTCTGGCGCACTCTGTATGTGCATATGATGTAGAACGTTACTCCTTCAACTTTTAAAATCGCGATATCTCAGGAATGGTGATTCTTGGAAAAAAAGTATAAAGACCATTTTGTAGATAATTTTAAGATCTATAATTTTCGTCTGAGCTACTTTTTTGATAAAACTTGCCGTTTTCGAAGAAAATCTAAAAAACGTCAAATATTGACCTTTGACCCCGAATAACTTTTTTAGCACACATGGGATCGATGGGGACTTTTGACACTTTATTTCTAATGGTATACCCAAGGTCTCCACCAAAATTTAGCTCTGTCGGAATTTTCGTTATTTGACCACTATTTTTATGACTAATTTGACCGGACTATTATGTATTTTAGTATTTTCCAACGATAAAACTTAAAAATAAGCTTTAGGTAAATTTTCGTCTTGTTTTAGGTAACACGTTTGTGGTAAGCGTGGCATTCGCCGATCTGCTCGTGACGGGGCTAGTAATCCCTGCATCCGCCGTGGTCATACTGGCGGGTCTTCCGGAGAACCTCCCTGTCTGCAAATTCCAATGGTTCCTCGCGACGCTATGTTTTCTGGTAACAGTCCTTTCTCTCACAGCAATTGCTGCCGAAAACTACGCCCGTTTGTGCTACTCTTCGACAACATACGACCTTTTAAGTCGCAGCAAGATCACCACCATTCTTTTGTTACTATGGATTGTAAGTTCCGTCACTTCGAGTCTCCAATTTGCCACTGATTTGACCTTCGATTACTGCACCAGGAAAAATCCCGGTCTGATCCCCTACCAGGCGACCATTGGGGTGGTGTTTGTGTTTTTACCCATAATTTTGACGCTTTTTAGTTACGTACGAACCGCATTTCACATACGAAAAGCCAAAACAAGGCCCAACTTCAAACCGCCCGTCACCTTCAACTGGGACTATTCCCTCATGCACAGTAATTTGTACAGTTTTCTTTTGTTTGTGGTCTTCTGGCTTCCGTTTGGCGTGGTTCTTGCGGTCGGAACTGTGAAGGAAGTTCACAACAGTTTGTTTTATAAGTTGGCTTGGTTGGGGATTACCAAATCTTGTATTAACAGTATTTTGTACTGTATTACCAACAGACATTTTCGGGGAGCTTATGTTAACTTGTTTCACTACTGCTGCTGCAAAACCACTGTGACCTTCTCGAGGAGGCAACGACCGGAGGGCGTGAGACCCTCCGGGGACGTCCGGGTTCATATCATTCCAGGTTATAACATGTATTGCAGTCCCCAGAGAAGCCGCGAGGGACAAAGCAAGAGGTGCTCGTCTCGGCCCAACGGAAGAGATGTATACGAATTATGATGAGACGATTATTACACCACCAGCAGAGGGGTGTGGATTTAGATAACAAATTTGTCAAGAATTTTTTTTATATTACGACTTTTTTGAGAAAATTTCGTATATAAGAGATTTTTGGTGAGAATCGAATCCTGCAAGTGTTTATAATCGAACAGAGCTTTATTTCCGCTGTAATATGAAAATATTGTGTATGCACAAAATATGCAAACATTCCACAACATCAGTATTTTGTTGACTAACTTTTTGAGCTTTATTATTAGAAAACATTCCTTTAAGTTAAGTTGATTAATTTTAGTGTTATACACTTCGAATAACTTTCCGAGACTCGAACAGATTTTAAAGCATTTGTAAACATATGTTTCAAAGTTTGCTAAATTCAAATAAACCTTCTTAATCGATGTATCTTGGATCTTAATTTACTGCACACGCGCAGTTTTTAACGCCTTTTTAAAGCTTTAATTAATCATTATGGAAATTACTTCAAAAGACTGACTCGTAATTTTATTATAAAACAACTTGCGATGTGTCAGAATTTATATTCAGCGTTAGTGTTATTACCTTGCCTTATTAAATTAAAAACACTTTTCTACAAGACAATTACGTTTATTCATTAAAACTACAAAGTGTAATATTGTTGTTTTATTGCATCTCAACTTTTATAAGCAAGATTAGGCTTGTGAAAAGTTTATTTACAAACTTATTGTTTAAACAGAGTCTATTATAAAAGTTTATTAAAGTTTGCTCAGTGTAAATAAAGCCAAAAATATTTATTTTGCGATAAATAACTGTTTGCAACAATCTTTGACCCGGCGCATCCACCATTTTTGGCGCACCATTGCTAAAATAGTCCGTTGCAACACAAAGACCGTCCATAATATTACTTGAAAGATTATATTAAAAATATGAAATACAATGTAAGGAAAAATACATTTAGCATTTTGCAGTGTTATAATTAAAAGGCATAAGGATAATTCCATAATATGCTTGATACAAAATTAAATTAAAAATTCCCATTTTAAAACTAGTTTTGTATAATAATATAATTTTTTCAGTTATTATTGAAAATGCTAATCGTGTGGTGAACTTTTAAGAAATATAAATATCGGGAGACTGTAAAGTGATTGTGATTTTTTATCTAAGTTGGTATCAAATTTAAAATTTTAATTTTACAACCTTGACTTTCAAATTCAAATTTTTATAGGCAATTGTCATTAGAAGGATTACTAATAATTCAGTGCCAATAGATTTTTTTGTCACAAACATTAAAAGTCACCCGTTATTTTGTTTCTACTTATATTTTAATTTAGAAACCTTTACAATTAAATCCTTAAAGTTTCATCTAACTTACTTGTGACACTGGTTTTAAATCAATTCTTTGATACCATTATAAAAACTACTTATACTATATACAGTTACCTACATTAACATCTTGATAACTATTATTATTATATTTTTCTTGATAAAAACGCTAAATGAATTTTTCGATTCCTGCATACTCACCTCTACATTAACGCTTAACATACCGCACAAATTTTTTTTAAGATGTTGTTAAATTGTTATTATAATTATTACTAGCTCTAAATACCACTTAGGATAATTTTCCTTACTTGTTGATCTGGCATGATGTCCGGCCAGAATATGTTATTCAACTCGTATTGTTTTATGCAATAATATGAGAAATGAGATCCAAGATTCATCATGTGTGGACTATATGTTTGATTTGATCGATTTGCACTTGGTAAAATATACATGGCATCCGCTTTTTAAAGAATCAAAATATAGTTCAAAATTTTTGCGGACCTAATACCTGAGTGCCTATCGCAATATTATTACTTTACTTTAATTGTAGACAATACTGAAATTTATCAAAATGGTATTTTATTATTATAATATTACTAAATTTAATCGCACCAACTATAACTGTGTAACTTTACTCGAAATGTTTTATTCATACATATATTTATGGATATAAATGTACCCATTTCCTAATGTAATAACATGCTTGAGGAAACGTAAACTGGTCTATATAATATTGCGTTATTATGAGTTTTTCCACAAGCAAAATATGAGAAATTACTATTATTTAGGTAAAATAAAATAAAAATTGTTATGAAATAAGCAAATCTGTCGGAAAAATTTATCAAATTATTATAAGGTTGAAAAGTAATGTTGTACACTTTTCCAACCTACATTTAATGATTCCTTTTAAGTATTAATTTTCTGGCAGATTTGTTTTATTAAGAATATTTTTGGAATCAGATAAAACTCACGAAACAAAACAACCAAATGTCCAATAAAATAACTCATAAAAATAAAATAACATGCAAAAATTGGTCGTAACATATAATAAATGTTGCCTTCTTCCCAGCTGTGATCTCTCTAACGAAAAATATACATTAAAATGTAACATAATGTGATAAGGGACCATTGTGCTAAATGGATTGTTGGTGATTACGATTGCATTTTTATTAAAAATGAAACTAAAATTGCTGGATTACATAAACGGAGATTATTAGGTCTGTCAACTGCTTTTCAAAAATGCTTTCAGTTTAATTCATATTTATTCAAAATTACACACAAGTTTAAAACAAGAACTTTTGCTTCTTGACTTGTGGTGGAAAATCTCGAGGACAAGTCTGAGTTTCTTGGCTAACTTTTAGGGGGGCTTGGCTTATCGGGTCTTCTTCGTCGAATGTTTTTCTTAGGATATCTTCGATAAAGTCTGAACAAGCTTTTGATAAAAACTCTTTTGTCATGTACTTAGCCTGAATGAGATTTGTTTGTTTATCCTGCATTTTTCACTAAAAATTTAAACACTCACAGAGGACTTTGACACTTTTAATGATTTGTAAAATGTCACAGATTTGTTACTAGATTTAAAATTGTATAATTTTCGGATGTATTTTAGCACAATGCACAAAACTAGAAGATTTGGAATAAGACTTAAAATGGCAAAGATTTTTAAGCAAAAGTTAAAGGCATTTAGTTGTAGTAAAAAAATAACAAATGTTATACATTCGTTACGTATTTCGTTATGTGACGAAAAAAAATACAAAGATAACTCTTAATTAATATTGACTAATTTTAAATGGTATGTTTTCGAATTTTCATACAAGTGTACAGATTTTTTTTTGACTTTCGATGGACATCGAACTGGGGATTTAGAGATCTTCCATTTAACGTTTGTGCAATTGGTTAGTGTTGACCACTTAGCGTTATTGAAAAGCAGTGAAAATCTTATGCTGTATTTAAATAAATGTACTAAATGTCCAGACTTTATAAAATTAAATGTAAATGTGTAAAATATTCTATTTGTATTATGAATGTGTTCAATGTGCATTTCATTTTTGTAAAACTGTTATAATTTAGAAATTTGTGAAGCAGATTGTGAATTTTCAGGCATGAAATTCGGTGTTAGTTTAACAAAACCTCACAGTCTGTCTTACAAACACTAGTGTTTTCTTGATTTATCCCTCTGCTTCAGAGGATAAGCGGTATTCTAAATGGAAATATGTATTCTTATACTATATACATTATAAATGTTGTGATATAAACGAGTAAATACAAAAAAATATTGATGGTCCATATGTAATACAAAGTATTAGATCGTAATAATGTTTAATTTCAGATGAAACAAGAGCCTCGGGTTGGAGACATTGAATATTCAATGATGCTCTTGGTAGATAAATAACTATTATACATTTATATTTAGAAGAAGTCAACTCAAAATTATCGAACGAATTTATACCAAATTTTTATTCTTCTAAACATAAGTTGTAAACAACTAAAAAGCACAGTAAGTTTCATTATACATTCATTTGCAAAAGCTTTATGTGGGCAATAATGTAATATACTCTCAATGTAAAATGTATGTAGATTTTATAAGTTGTAATAAAAACATCAACAAAAACGTCTCCACTTCTTTCATTCTGACGCATGACAGCTATGTGACACAATATAAGTACACTATGAAAATGAATTTTGTGAGTTTTGGTGTTTTTCTTCTTCCGAGTTATTATTATTGTCCGATTTTAGGAAACATCTTATCCCACAGCTGTGTTTTGCATAATCGCTACAGAATTCTGTGAAAGATTTTCTTTTTGTGGCCTACGAAGTATGTTTCAAGTCAATTGATAACAAAACAAACAACCTGTTTTCAGCCATTCTGTCCATTTATCTCAGGAATGAGTTGCTTTTTTCAGAAAATTGTTCTACAGTTATTTATCACGTCTTTATTATGGTGTGTTATATTGTACCTTTGGCGGGAGCAGTGTGTGCAGACAGCATTTTGGGGAGATATAGGTATAAAAATGTTTATTAATCAATAATATCTTGAGATGAATTATTATCTCATTCTCTTGCTGCACTCTGAAAAAATAATTATAACTTTTCTCGTGAATTAGAGTTATAACATCTTTGTAACGGTAACGGTATGAATTGTTACAGGCCGAAAAAGTAAAATTTAAAACACACTATTCAAGCTGTTTCTTCCTACCAAACGTGTTTATTAAGCTTGCCTAGATTCGTTTTCTAACTCTCATTTATTTCTTACTTTTATTCATATTCATTTTGCTAAAAAAGCCACTTTTTATGGACCGTAAATCCCAAAATTGTTTACATGTTAATATAACAACACAATTTCGCTCAAATTACAACCGAAGCTACAAAATCAACGCTTGAAAACTATTAAATTAAATTTTTCCTTAAAGATAATCAAGAAAGGGAAGGATAATTTGTTTACTTGGCATTAAACATGTCGATAAAAAATCATTAAGTACTTCAATTGCAGAAATAATGCATTATTGCTAATTCTTTCAATTTTTTATCGGTATCGGACTTATCAAGATAATGTCATTAAATATAAAGATAACAGTCATTCATCAATAAATAAGTAGCAGGTAGCATATTTAAACGGGATATTAAGGAAGGAAAAAATTGTTGTGAGTTATGAGTTGCAAAAAGTTAACATTTTTTAAACAGATTATCAATAATAATTTTAATTTATATTCATTGGCGAAAATAGTATTATTTGGTCAGGAAATATAAACAGTAGTATTTGATTTTCTTTTTTTTAGCACAATTTTATATTTTTCGGTGGTATATTTAGTTGGAAACATCTTGATGTGCATGGGAGCTGTTCCGCTTTTAGATATCTCTTCCATGTAAAAAAATTGTCATTTATGTGATTCTCTTTACAACTTCATCATTTTAGTACTTTATCAGCCGTAGGTTTATTTCTGATATCAGTAGGAACTGGTGGCATTAAACCTTGTGTCGCTGCCTTTGGAGGCGACCAATTTCGACTACCTGATCAGAGAGATCTTTTACAACATTTTTTCTCATTGTTTTATTTTACGATTAATTTGGGAGGATTTGTCGGAATGATTTTGACTCCTATTTTGAGGAAGTGGGTATCCTGTTTTGGCGATGACACTTGCTATGCTTTAGGCTTTGGCTTTCCGGCGGCTTTGATGGTTTTATCATTGCGTAAGTAAACTTTTGTGTTAATTAATAAAGCACAAAATGTATTATTGCAGTCCTTTTTATTTTGGGTAAACCTTGGTATAGGCTAAAAACACCTAAAGAAAATGTAATGCTTCAGTTTTTTAATTGTACAATAGTAAGAAATCTATTGTTAAAATATTTATTTTAAAATGACATTGACTTAGTACGCTTTAGCCAAACGTTGCAAATCCGGAACTAGGATAAATCCTAGAAAACACTGGTTACACGCAGCTCGGGGCAAATACAGCGCAAAATTAATCCGAGACATGAAAATTGTCTTCGCTGTCTTGTTTTTATACATCCCTTTGCCCATATTTTGGTCACTGTTCGACCAACAGGGATCAAGATGGACTTTTCAAGTAAACTCGAATCAGTATGCAAAGACTTATAAAATGAACAAATCAGTTAATTCTAGGCATCTCACATGGACGGTAACGTACTAGGCATTCAAATCGTCCCAGATCAGATGCAAGTGGTAAATCCTGCAATGGTGTTAGTTTTGATACCAGTTTTTGATAAAGTGGTAAATCCTTGGTTTTCGAAACTGCACATCATGGAAAACGCTCTGCATAGAATGGCAGTTGGAGGACTTTTTGCAAGTGCTGCCTTTTTGTCAGCCGGGGTTTTGGAATTAGTTCTGGAAACTACTTACCCCAAGCAACCTCAAGAAAAACACGCTTCGATTAATATTATTAACACTTTGCCTTGCGATGTTAAGGTGGATAATCCGTTTAATGGAGTACAGAGGATTAGGTCTAGTGGATTACACAAGTTTGAAAATATTATGTGCGATAATTTCACGAAGTATACGCTACTGGTGGAGGCTTCCGAAAAATGTGGAACTATTTATTTTGGGAGGCATAGACATAATTTAGAAGTTGCAGCGTTGGAAATGCAAGTGAGTTATTTTATTACATAACACTTGGTGATCAAATATAACTGTTTGAGTTAGCATTATTAAATTTTATTTTTAAACTTAAAATGGCAATTTTAAGTAAGTACTTAACATTTTTCTTTCGTCAAATAGGGGATATGCGGGCAAAACGGGGTAGGTGCCTAAAACGGGGTACCATGTTTTTTTTCTATACCACTAGCTTTATCTACCCAACGTTTTCAAAATTATATTACACACGCGGGCATACGATCTTTGTCATAAAGCAGAAATCTGTAGTTGTTAGCCGATCGTTGTAGTTAGCACATGTGCCTTTTTAGTAAACACAGTTTCAATATCGCCGGAGAATAAATTCATCGTAAGTAGGACTAAAACAATTTATTATTAAAAAATATTATTGCCAACTAAAAGTGCGTGTTTTCTAAAGATTTTCTTTGTTATTGTGTTAAAAAAATTACTTCTAATAAAATAAATACGTCATAATCTAAAAGTCTTCGCATTTGGGCAAAATGGGGTACCAGCAGGTACGGTAAAACGGGGTACCCCATTTTGCCCTATTTTTATACAACTTTCCAGTAAATATTTTTGGTTTTGTCTCTACATAGATGGTGTCTAAGTACAAAAGAAAGAGATACTCCAGGTTATTCCGTTTCAAAAGTTTTGGGCAGTAAAAGGCCCGTTTTTACTACCCAACAAGAACAAGAACTTGTTAATTATCTTAAAGATATGGAAGCGAGATTATTTGGA